TGGGAGAAAATTCCTGCGAGCCTCTTGGACTGCAAGGCGATCAAACCGGTCAGTCCTAAAGGAGATCAACCCTGACTGCTCTTTAGAAGGCCAGATCCTGAAGATGAAATTCAAATACTTTGGCTACCTAATGAGAAGGACTCATTGGAGAAAAGCCTAATGCTGGGAAAGATTGATGGCAAAAGAAAAAGGGATGACAGAGAATGAGGTGACTGGATGGAGCCACCAAAGCAGTAGGCGTGAGCTTAAATGGACTCCAGAGGATTGTAGAGGACAGGAAGGCCTGGAGGAACATTGTCTATGGGCTTGCGATGGGTCGGACACGACTTCGCAACTAAAAACAACAACTTCTCTGCACTGGAAAAATACTGGATTTGTGACAGTACATGCTTTACTGGTTTTACCAGTAAAATAGTACTGCTGTTAACCCTAACCCTAAAAGAATGTCTCGAAAACACATCGTTTTACCTACCCAGAGATTCACCAAAAAGCAAGGGAGATATCCAACTTGCTTTCCAAACAAATCAAATTTCCATCAATCAGAAACCTACACGAAAGCAAAAAGAGAATCTAAACTCATGTATATACGAATACAGGTTAAGAATAAAAATCCCTTCCCCTACATCTTCATGGTAATATGTAGTCGAAAGGAAGGAGAATCATTTGATAACTCTTGCTCTCTTTATTGCAAATCCTCAAAGGGCGATTGTCATGGCATCCTGAGATTTTAGTCCTTGCTCAGTCAAATTCTTTTGTCTTCATTTGATTTTTTGCACAGCAGATTACGAAACCTTTAAATTTTCTGTCTGCGCACGAGGGAAGAACAGCAAGAAGATATTAATCTACAGATCACTTAGTTTGTATCATTTTCCCGCCTAGCGAACACGGAAACCGGAAACAAGGCTTATAACGTCTATTTTCCACCTTTAGGGCAGAAATCCCTGAAGCGCTCTTAGAAAATGAAGGATAACATGGGGTGGGGTGGATAGATGGACATCACTCTTCCAGGAAATCGGCGTGGCCGCATTTGGAGCGCGAAAAGATCCCGCTGGCGGCCAAGAGCTGTCGCACAATCTCTGCGGCGCTGCCGACTTAGCCCCACCTCTGCGCGTCCTGGCGCCAGGAAGGCGGAAGAAATTCGACAGGAGGAGGCGGAGGAAGACGATTTCTCGCTACTTCTCGCGGCGCTTCCCTCCTTCTCCCCTCCGCGGCCTCCCCCTTTCTCTGGCCGCTCGCGCAGCTGCTCGGCACTCGCTATATAAAGGGCGAAACAAGCGGAGCAGACGGCTGGCGGCTGCAGCCCAAGGGCCGCCGTGTGAGGCCGGGCCGCGGAGGAGGGGGAGGGGGAAGAAGAAGAAGAGGAGTGTGTGTGTGAGAGAGGGAGAGAGAGAGGGTTGCTTCTTCCGCGCGGGCGGGTTAGCCGGGCTGAGGAGGACGCCCCTGAGGCGAGACGGGGCGGAGGAGGCGGACAACAGCGGCGGCGGCAGCGGCGGGGAAAGGGGGGACCCTAACTCGCCTCAGCCTGCTCTTGTCCGGAGGGGGGTGTCGGGGGCGCCCTGCCTCGGTGTGGGTGTGTGTGCGTGTGTGTGTCCTACCCAGGGGTGGTGCGGGACATGGCGAGCTCGACTAACACAAACCCCGTGGTAAGGACTAGGGTTGCGCAAGGGGCTCTGAACGGGAGGGCGGTGGGGGGGGGTGTTCGGTTTGGGGATGGCGGGGCAAGGGTGGGACGGCGGTGGGAGCAGCAGCAACAACCGCCCCGGATTCGCGGGCTTCCGCTCCATCCCTCCGGACCGAGCGAGCGCTGGGTGCCGCTTCGGGGAGTCGCGGAAGAGGGGTCTGGAGGGAGCCCGCTTCGTCTCTGCGAGTGGGGAAAGGCGGGGAGGGGATGGGGGGAAGGCTTGGGGGTGAGGTGGCGGTTTTTCCCCGCCTTAGAGGAAAGGCTGGCGGGGGGGTGGAGGGTGGGAAGCGTGCCTAGAGGTGCGGCTTCGCCCCCCAAGCATTTAACCTGCGAGGGCAGTGGTCGAAACTGCCTCTTTCCGCAGACTATTAAGGCATCGGTAACGAATGGTTGAAAAGCACCTTTTAATTCCTAGTCTGGCAGAGAACGTCTCTTCCTTCCCTTCACTCGGGGAGATGTATTTTTATATCTATACCTGGGGAAAAGGCCCTTTTGATCCGTCCGAGTTTTCTTCAGGAAGCGCTTTTATATTAATAGCTTCTCTTTCTTTCCCGCCTCCTTTTCTATGCTTCTCCCTTCAGTTCTTTGTAGAGAGGACAGGCTCAGCTTCTGAGTCTCGGTTTCACATCGGTATACAATAAGCAGTCACACGGAAAAAAAGAAAAAAAAACCCCTCCCGGCCCCTTTCATCACTGTTTCTAAGGCACTAAGGAAAAAAAAAACAATGCAAATCAAATGCACTCAAAAATAAGCACCCCACCGGCCAAAAGATAAACCCCTGCTGACCAACCGAAGTCCTGATGCTGATTTGGAGGCTCTCATTTTGTGCTCTCAGATCCATCATGGCTTCCCCTTGCTTTTCTCACTCCCTGCTCCTTGTGTTCCTCCTCCCTGTGGCTGCCCTGTTTATATAGAGCCATTGCCGCTCTCTAATATAGACTCTGCCAGGATGGGAAGGTGCTTTCCAGCCCCACGTCACCGCCTCTCCATTTAAACACCACATCAGCCTTTAAATACGGAGAGAGCTGTGGAAAGCAGGCTGGGAGGTGCCTGCACTACATAGGCACGACCAAAAAGCGCTCTCTTTGTTGCTTAGAAGCTTTTGCTGGCTCTTTTCAAGCACCATCACATGATAAATAGCTGCTGTTTCTTGTTTTTCTGTATAAGGTTATTTTTTGCAAATCGTTTTTATTCTACCTTTATTCTATTAAAGTTCTATGGGGTGACTAGCTGAGTGCAGTGGGATTTTTGAATTAGTTTTCAATGGGAAATCAAAACAGCATACACTACATTTTGTAATAAGATGCCTCATGTAATTATTTTTCTTGCTCAAACATTTTTTACCTTTGGAATGTAGTAAAAATTTTATGGGTGTTATTGAATTGTTCTAAATCATGCCATCTCAGTTTTATCTGGCTGAAAATTGAGATTTAGTACAGCTGGTATCAGTGTGACTACATTGCCCTACAGTGAAATAATTTGATTTAAAAGTCAGAAGAGCATTTGAATGCTCTGTAATGCATAGTTGCCGTAGTATTAATCTTTTTATGTTGGAAAAGTGAAATTCTGCTAGGCATGTGTGTTAGAAAACTTGAGATTTCCATGTAGTTTTTCATTTACTTAATTTAGGTTGTTTTCACTTTTAAAGAACCTTCAAAGTTTTGAAATATGGCAAGAATATATAAACATTTTCAAACAGTTATTTGTCACTTTTTAAAGCCTAAATTGTATAGGTCTGTGATTGAAGATGTCATTAATGATGTCCGAGAAGTCTTTCTTGATGCAAGTGTGGATGAGCAAGTCCTTGTGGAACTTAAAACAGTAAGTTGCAACTTCATGCATCTTAAATAATTCTTACCTTTTAGCAGGCGGTGACTATAAACATGGTTGTGTAAAATATCGGTTTATGAAGAACAATCCTGCTTGAAACAGTCCTTCAATAAATTCTGTGTGAAAAAATTAGATATGATATGCTTTGAATATGTTTAATAAACTTCATTAAAAGTTTTAAAGAAGATGTAAAAAGTAACAAACTACAAAATAGAACAAAGAGAAGGAAAAAAAAGTACAGTGAAAGAATAAAAAGAAATAGGAGTTTCTGATTTTCTCTGCAGCAAATATGATTTACAAAATTATATCTTACACTTACGATTACAAAAACTACTTTTTTATTATCCGTTTTTTTCTAATCAAAACCACAAACCATAAATACATTTTTCATTTCATGCAAAAGTCTGTAAGTGGTTTCCATTTAGCCATAAATTTAGATGTTCTCTTTTCTCTGATCAAGGAAATTAATTAATTTAGCCATCTATGCAAACACCTAGCCATTTCTCTATTTGGGTAGTGTCTAGCTTTTTCACTTTTTGACCATATAAAAATTATATTGCAGTTCTATATAAAAACAGTTCCATGACTTTATTCTTGTTACCTATCCATTGGTCCCAAATGAAAATTCTTTATTTCAGTAGTGCTTTAATTTTTTTTAAATGTTCTGAATTAATGTATGTATTTGTATCCCAAATGTTTTGGCTTTTAACATAGCCATTCAACATAATAAAATGTTCCTACATGATGTTCATATTTCCAAAAAAGAACCAAAGCATTCCAGACAAATTTTTGGTGACAAGTAAAATATAACAATGCATCATTTTATTAAAAAATATTTTTAAAGTTAGAACATAATAGAAATTTTAATACTTTCACCCACCTATTTTTCCTTTGTTCCATTTGTGTATTATAACCAAAATTTTAGCCATTTTATATATTCAACATTAGTCTCATATGTCAAAAAAATACATTTTAGCAATAACACGTTCTTATTAGTACATAATTCTGTTTCAAATTCATTCTTAAAATATTAAAAACCCAATTATCTTTTATCCAATATGCTTCAAGTGTTCCTCTATAGGTATCGATAGGAACGCTAAAGAAACTTTTATTCCCTTGTTTTTCATGCAAGAGGTACTAAAATGGATTGGATGGTGGTCCATACTAAATTTCAACTACACTCTAACCTACCCAAGAAAGTCATTTTTTTAAAGAAATTGATGTCATGCTACAAAGAGTCAGCTGACTACTGATAATTTGTTTCCAATGTTACAGTTTAAAAATGTGTAACTCATATATGTCAGTAAAAAGAAACATAACCTAAAGTTTGTTTATAACTTATTGTTATTTACTCACCAGTAAATACATTTTTTTAAATAAATTCAGCTATGGGAAAACAAATTGTTGCAATCCAAAGCTGTTGATGGATTTCATTCAGAGGAACAGCAACTTTTACTGCAAGTACAGCAACAGCAGCAGCACCAGCAGCACCAACAACAGCAGCAACAGCATTCCCATCATCACCACCACTCGCAGCCACAGCAAACAGTTCAGCAACAGTCCCAGACCCAGCAAGTCCTTATTCCAGCAACACAGCAAAGTAAGGCCTTCTCTGAATCTTATGAGGGTTATTGCCAGTGTTCCAATCTTGTAATCAGGAGATTACTGGCACTCTAGGTTTGTAGTGTAGGTTCTTGTGAGGTCACCAAAAACAATTTTACCTGAACCGGGAGGCCCTTGCAACAGTCACTCGTGCCCTTGTGACCTCAAGACTGGACTACTGCAATGTGCTCTTTGTGGGGCACCTCATGAAGATCATTTGGAGACT